ATACATTTACAGAGGCTTAAGTATAATTTTCCAAAGGTAAACTGATTTAATCCTAGTTTACTTCAATAAAAATAATTTGAAGATAGTGAGTAAACATTATTCACTTCTGAAAAACTCCACAAAAAACTCATGTAATTCAATTGTAAGAAAACCTTAATTTGGGCCCTCCCTGGTGGCGCAACCGGTTAAAACACAGCACTATGAAGCTATCTCAGCCACTGCAGCACTAGTTCGATCCCTGGCCATGGATGTGGCCCACATGGCACAGCAGACCTCTCCTGTCTTGCCCACCATTCTCCTCCCCAGTGTATTTCAGTACATTTGCCAGTTCTGCTCCCCACTCTGTCTCTGGTGAACCTCTCACCTCCTACATCTCTGGCCTGCATGCCAATTCTGTATGCATAAATAAATCCCCCCCCCTTTTTTTTAAGTAAGAAGCCTCATTTTCAGAGAATATGAAAAGATATTTTCTCAAAGACATACAGATGGCCAAGTACATGAAAAGATGTCCAATGTCACGAATCATCAAGAAAATGCTAATCAAAATAACCAAGATATATCACTTCATACCTTCAGAATGGCTATTGTAAGAAATACAAAAATGTTGGTATGGATGTGGGGAAAAGGAACCTTGTGCACTGTTGGTGGGTGTCTAAATTGTTACAGTCACATGGAAAACAGTATGGCAGTTCCTCAAAAATTCTAGTAATTCCATTTCTGGATATTTGTCCGAAGAAAATGAAAAAAAATAACTAGAAGTATACATGCCTCTTTACATTAAATGCATAGTTAACTGCATGCTAATTGCATATTATCTAATTTAAAACATCTGCACCCCTATGTAAACTGCACACTTAACTGCAGTTTAAGGAACTAACATTGTTTAATAATATAATTTAAGAGCGAACAAAAAAATTTATTAAACTTGTCCCCAAAAGGTTTGTGCTTACTTTGTACTTGCAATCTGGTTGATAATATTTTAACATTTTTCTGAAAAGCTTAAGATTTTAATAGTTAAGTAGAAAATAACTTAGTTTTCAAATATGATTACATGTTAATCAATAGCTTCAGGCAAGTTGATCACTTTATGCCTAATTAGAAAGCTATAGATACTTGCCTTCATTTTTCCAGAATTTCTGTAGAGAGTTTAGGTGTCAAGATACCGTTGAGAGAGTAAGTCAGGGATCTTGAAGTTGTATTTGTACAATAAGGAAAGTGATTTGACTTGTGGTATAGGTGATTCCTTGTGGCTTCAAAGAAGGATGATGAATATTATTGGGATTATAGTTTGAGTTGTGTCCTTATACTTAGAGGCACAAGTGTCCATTCCACAAAGTGTCCATTATTACACCAGGAAATGAAGAAAGAATGCCTAGCATACAGTATGTGTTTTACAATACTAATGCCTGTTCCTATGTATAGGTAAGACCAATATTCTTATTTAGAGCCACACAGATCGTGAAGTTTCTTCAGAATTAATAACTTTCATGAAGATATTCTGCTGGTTGTCAAAACTTAATACAATTGGACTAGATCTTTCCAATATCACATAAGCAATCATTAGCTACAGTGTATGATTAGAAATAGTTTTATATGTGCATAACATTCAAAACAATGGCTTGCTTTGCTTTCTGATATTCTTTCACTCTTTCTCAAGGGAAAATAAATAAAAACTTCAGATTAGGTTCTAGAGTCATATTCTTCCCATGTCTTTGTAGAAGTAAAGCATTTGTATGAATAGCCAAAAGACGGGCAAAGCAATAGGAAAGGAAAAAAAGGTCCTAGATATGAACACTGAACCAAATGATTGTTTTCATGAATATTTATGAGCTGCTTATAATGACAATAGGTTCCTTTTAATACCAACCAAAAACATGGTTAAACTTAAGACTTTGCATAAAGTATTCATAACAATCATTTATACTTTTAGTTTTTAATCACTGTTTTATGATTATACCTATTCCTAAAATAGAACCACAATCTCTACATTAGAATAGGCCCTAATAGAACTCAGCACCTACATTTTATTTTTCCTGAAATTAACAGCCTTCATATTTAATCCTACTACTAAGTAGAGAAACACATGAATTGAGTGCCTGCTAGTTGCCAGGTGCCATGCTAAGTACAGAGAGCACAATGTTCCAAAAGTCGCCCTTCCCTGGTCACTCTCCATCAACAGCTGAATTTCCACAGCGCAGATGCTGAAGGACCAAGATGTGGAGCCCTCTGGAAGGAAAGGATGGGGAACATGGCAGCCTAAACATGTCAGGACCCATTTGACAAAGAGATGTTTCTTCATGCTATCCTTCTGAAGCACTGCCAAGCAGAAGACACAATGACATGGAGTAGGGAAAGGAGGAGAATCAGGGGCACAATGGACTGGAACAAACATGGTCACCAGAAGTGCTGTTTTCTGCCTTCTAACCTGAGAATATTTTACAATTTTTACATGCTTCTGAAAAGTGGGCAAGCGTGGATTTTTGTCTCTCCCTCTTCTTAGGCACTAATATTTATTGAATGGTATATGCCAACACTAAATTTGAGATGCCCTCTAAGGTAGGTAATGTTATTTCTATTTAACAGAAAAGGAAACAAGGTCAGCATAGGTAAGAATTACGCCAATATCTGTTTGACCCTTTTGCCCTGCAATCTCTGGAGAAATAGTCTCTAAGGCTTAAATAATAGGAGCCACAACAGGAAAAACATGAATAACTGGAAACTTATGAGTACTTACTATATGCTATAAAGTTCAATTAAAAAAGTTTTATGTTGGCTAATATGTAGATAATATCTGAAGCATTTCCATGTATTATTCAGTCTTCACAACATCTTTGGGAGGTCAGTACAATTGTCACTGTAACTTATCGTAAGGAAACTGAGGCACAAAGAAGTCAGGTAAGTTGCCCTTAGAAACAGGCAGAATTGCAAATGTAAGTAGTCTGGCTCCAGTGCCACAGGGCTTAAGCACTACTCCACATTCCACCTTTTAACACAGACCAAATCCTAACTTTAGACCACCAGAAAAGACTCGGCTGGGAAAGATATCCCAAGCAGAAGGCACAAAGTGGTGAAGAGATCTTATGTCCCCGAATAATAGTGACAAGAAAGAACTTAGTGTGGCTTAAGAATCATGTCTTGATTGATGAGGGGACGGGAAGACAGTAGGAGGTGGGACTGAAGCAGAAGAGGTAACTCTCTCTTTTTCCTTAACACTATGCAGATGAAAGGTTCTCAATTTCATTTTCTGCTTGTTTATTTAATAGAAAATTTCAGTTCAAGGAAAATATTTTTAAATATAATAAACAGATGAACAATACACTGCACATACATATAGACATTACTCACTGGCATAGCTCCCATTTTTTACTTGAGTGATTATTTTATCTCATGGATCTTGATGAATGAGACTTTCAATAATTATCTGAAAAGAAGTTGATTCTACCAATTTTTAGATTTCTGCATAATCTATGCAGATATAGTATATTTTAAAAATTTTCTTTAGTTTTTTGCTTTTTACCTAATCAACTCCAAAATTTTAAAAAGTATCATCTGATCTAGATATATCTAGATATATTCTAATCAACCACCAGATGGCATAGAGTGTGAGAGTTTTATTCTGACAGGGTCACCACACACATGACAATTTGACCTGTAACTTCAAACTCATGTATTCAGGGAAATGTCCTAGCACTCAAAACAGTTCACGATTACTTCAGTCACATGTAGAAGCGGACAGAGAATTTGAAAATGACATGAATTGTTCTTCTTCTAAATTTTTGGGACTGGGATGCTAGCATTACATAATGAATGAATGATCAAACAAGTAAAACAAAGCATTTTTTGTTAAGGAAATAAAAAGGAAGTCATGCCAAAGCAAAATTAATCTTATATTCTAAGTAGACTTAATTATAAACAAAACTGGAATTGTGCCTTTGAGAGAAATAAATATGCTTGTGTCCCTTAAAATTCTGCTTAATAAAAACCTTTCTACAGCCTAAAATTCATTGTAAAAGTAGAAAAGGAGAGCATCTCTCTACTTTGGTTTAAAGGAAAGTTGATGCAGAAGTTAACAGAAAAAAGAACGTCTATCTGAAAAAAACAATCTGAATGATGATGCTAAAGGATAGGTAAGAATATCTTGAGAACTTGATTTCTAACCACATTCAGCAAAGAACATTTTTATTTACCCTGTATTTCCATGTAGATAAGAGGGCACATTACTAACAAGTCCAAGAGCTAAAAACTGAAGCAAATGCAGTTTAATAATAATAATTTTAAAAATGCATAGGAACATTAATTTCCCTCTCTCTGTAGTAGCTTATTCACTGAGAAGTGAAATACACATGCTAGAAAAAATGACTATTGGTGCCTGGCCAGTGCCACAGGATGAGATATAATCTTTGCTCTAGTGGGATGAAGAAGCAGGAAAACTACCTTTAGGAGTCAAGACACCTTGACTGGAAAGTAATGTAATGTGGCCGAAGAGTCAAGAATTTCTAAAGATGTTGTAATAATTTTTGCATTTTATCTTACATTTTCTTATTAGGTTAAATATATGTGGTTCTGAGTGAAGTCTGTGGAAAAGGAAAAGATATTTGGAACTACAATAAAGATAAAAAGTTAACTGGGGGTATACATATATATGTGTATACACACACACACACACACATATATATACATGCACATAGCCTCTTTCCCCACCTGTTAGTCATATGTGGATAGGATAATGGGAATGAGAATAAGAGAATTAATGAGGAAAGTTTTGTGAGATTTCTTCCACTGAGAATTGTGTCTTGTCTTCACTTTGACAGTCAATAGATAGCAAACTTATTTTTCACCAGGGATCATATTAAGGGGAAAAAAAATGAAACTCCATATTCTTACGCTTAGAACATTAAGTTGTTATTTCCAAAGGGTTTCTTCTGGTAGTCCAATTAGATAGCAGAAAACCAAATGATAAAACAGTTCAAGTTAGGATACTATAGTCAGGACACAACTACTTACTTTAAATTCCATTCTTTAGCATGTTTTTGCTCATTTTTTTTCAATTTAAAATACTCTCCAGTGAAATTTGAATCTTCAAGCACTGAAATTAGAGTATTTTTAAGAAAGGGGCTATGCAATCATTCTTTAATAATCATTTAAAGTTGAAAATAATTTACTTCTCACTAAATATATATGGTAATATTATATACTATATAATTTCAATCATCACAATACTCATACTTTCCAATACTTTTGTTTGTACTTCATATTACTGGATATTTTTTGAAATAAATAGAATGTGACTTTGGAACTTTTAATCATTTAATTTAATAATGATATTTGTTCATATATTATTCATAATATTCAATATGTTAAAAATAATTCATACAGAAACCACAGGCAGCACAGTTTAGTAAATCCTAGGTCAGCACTTAAAGTGGAAAATAAAGTCTTGGAGCTGGAAGTGAAAGATCTTGATCTTTCACAAAGCAAGATCCTCAAAACAGATATCAGCATTTAAATGAATTTCTTGCTGACCACAGAAAACACTCTCTTTGTTGCTGGGAGGCTGCCAGTTCTACTGACAGACAGTAAATTCACAATATCCTTCCTAATTTGAGTACTAAGATTCCACTGGTTCTAGTTATGACCTTTGGAGCAATATTGAATAAGTTCATCCTTCCCCCATTAGAGAGAGTCCTCTAATATTTGAAGACAGGACAGTCAGTTCTTCAGCTTTTTCTGAAGACATAAATTTTAAAAATCTTAACCATCCTCACCATATTGGCAGAGAACTTTGCTGATGATACCACTGAAGCGTACGTATAGAATTGGCTCAGGATGATTTTGATTTTGTTAGACTAGTAAAGATGCAGAGGGATTATTACCTCCCTTAATATATGTTTAGACCCTCCATTATCTATCAATTCAACAGGGATCTGCACTGGAAATCACATTATATCACGGATTCATACGTTTGTAGTTAATTATAAATCTTATGCTTTCTATCAAATTCACATAAATTTATTGGAGACCTACTATCTTAAGATCTTAATAGTCTTTACATGAAATATTGTTATATACATATATATCCCATTCTTTATATCTTATATCTATCCATCCATCCATCCACCCATCTCCTGTCTCCTATAATTACTCTGGGTTTACAGTCTTGAACAATTTAACCAACTGTTCTTCACCTGTTTTACTCTTATCTGAAACTTCTTGCTTAACAATAATTAACTTATTCTACTGATGAAATTTGTCATTTAAAAAAAAAATTTAAAAGAATCTCCACTTCTATTAATATTACATGACTCTCACTAGCAATATTTCTATGCTTTATTGCTTCAAATGAACACAAGCACACATACATATATATAGACTCTTATAAATTTTATTAATAGTCCTTTTACTGGTATATGGATATATACTTCTCCCTTGATTAAGGAAAATAAAACTGAACTTCCCAGAGTTCTTAGTGAGGTCTCATTATTTCCTCTAGGTGATATAATGACTAATTATAATAGAGCTTTCTTACTGTATATTGGGAACTTGTAAAGGTACTTGTAAAGTAGACATATAGTAATTCACATTATAATACCCACTTTACAGATGGGTATTACAGTCACAAATGCTTTGTTACTTTTTATCTGCAGTAGAAAAGCATCCTCTATTGTCCTATTATCTCTGTAATATAATTCTTCCTTATCAGGATTACTGAGTATAATTTTTGCTTTTTTTTTTTCCTGCGACACACATTTTACACATTTGTATAGGCTGTTACAAATAATTTCCCCCATTGCTGAAACTGTCACAGCCAAAGAAATGTATTATTTTCACACATGCTACCTCATGCTAACCACAGGAGAACAAACTAGAGTGGATGTTTTGGTAAATGAGTAGAAATGAAAAATGAGATACAAAGTTAGATAACTAACCTAAATTTATTTAACTGCATGTGATTAAAATAGTGCAGTGTTAAGGAACAGCTAAATTCTGTCACTATATTCTTCCCACTAGAGCCTTTCCAACTTTGGTTGCACATTGTAACTACCTAGGGAGCCTTAAAATCGACTGCTGCCTGGTGTTGCTCCTAGGGACTCTGAGGTAATTGTTTTGGGGGTGTGCCTTGACATGGGAATTTTTATAAGTTCCTCTGCTGGTTTGAATGAATAGTTAAGAGAACCACTGCCTTAGAATTAGACATTAATGCCTCTTCATCTTGTAGAACTTGTCCTACCTGCATCTCAAAGACTCAAAGAATTAAAATCTCTTGAGGTAAAGCAAGCCTCTCCATGCTGTTACAGGCTGTTTGGTCTGTCTTGATGACAGCAAACAAACATCAGGAAGCCTCTTCTTGGAATTAGAGGGTACAAGGTACACCGGGGTCTAAAGGGACTCTTTTCCTTGAACATAAACATTTCCTTATGAGGATCATACCAAACCCCTCATTACCATTTGCAAAATAAAAAGCTTATAAAAATATGCACAGAATTTAATCTTTCCAGTATAGGAATGTAACTACAGAAAATGAAGTTGTTAGAAGTTTCCCTTTTATTTCTGCTAGTTGAAAAAGCATCCCACAATCTAAAAGCTGCTTTTTTATTGTTGCCAGAAAATTGAGGTATTAAAAAAGATAGTATTGGATCTCATCCAGCTGAACTATCCAAAGACAAAATGGCCAGCAGCACATGTAAGGGTTATATTTGATTCTAAAATAATCAAGTACTAATTATTATTGAAGGAAAGCTCTTGACACACCCTTATAATAAATCCCCAGGGGAAGAGGAGACAGAATGACTGTGAAATCTTGTACAAAGGGCTAGAATCAAAGTCTCAAATTCTTTTGGGCTAGAGGTACACATTACCAGCTTATTGCCTTCACAAAGAGGGATGAATTACATACCAAGTTAGGGACAGATGTAAAAGCAAGAATAAAATTAAACACTTTGGTGTCACTCTTTTGAAGAAGAAACAGCAATCAGTGGTGTTTCATTATTTTGTTCCATTTTAAAATTCTTTATAGAAAGAAAATAATTTCCAAATTTCCTTAAACATTGACACGTACTTCTATTATTTTTTTTTCCTCTTGTAGTTTGAAGTTTCTAAGTGCTTCTCAATATTTATATGTTATTCAATAAGGCACCATCTTATCATGATCCATTTTTTTGTTTTTTGTTTTTTTTTTTTTGGTTGAATGAGTTCAACACTCAGACTTTCCCTACCATGTGTCACTTGTCTTGACACTGTATCTGTTAAGGGTTATCATCTCCTGGAACTCTTCTGATTCATCAGTGCCTTATACACAGTATGTACTCAAAATATGTATTGCTGGATTGACTAGGCAACAACCAACCACAAATCTTTGATATGAAGTAAATAATTATGTACTTTCCTATCAAGAATAATAAAATTTTTCATACTGATAGAGCTTCTGAGCACTGTGTTCCTTAAAGCACCTAAAACAAATTGCTGTTCTTAACCACTAATCTATGAGTTCGTGGTGTAGGTAGCATGCAATCATAAAATAATTAATAATCCATATCCTGAATTATTTTATGCAATCATAAAATAATTAATAACCCATGTCCTTCTTAGGAGTTTTTGGTCTAATTCACTTTTTTTAGATCTCTTAAGCTTTATACTACCTTGTACTCTCATTTGTGCCTTCAAACTAGAATACTTTTGCGACAATTTTGTTCCATTGAAACCAACATGAAACTATCATAATGATGAGATGAAATTTGATTGGACCACAAATTAAGGGCATGGCTATGGGGGTGATGGAGTAGAGAGAAGTATTCATAATGATGTAGGAGATAGTCAACAAAAAAGGAGATAAAGAGGTCTAGGAAATTCCTGTGGTTCTGGTTTAGGCACATAAATGCACTAAATGTGACTCATCACTAGGATGAATTTAAAGGAGAGAGGCTAGGTTTTAGGACAAGATAAAGAACTCACTTTGGTACATCTCAAGTATGAGATGCCCATAACAACTCTAGGTAAGGTGTCCAGTATATTTATAAATACCCCTGCAAAGTTTTTAAGAGAGCCTGGCTGTAGGTAAGGTTTTAGGAATTACTGGCAGCTAATGAAAACCATAGTGTGGGTGATGTCTCTCAGAAAGTGGGTAGATAGGACTATATGAAGTTTGCTAAGGTAAGCAGTAGAGACCTTAGGAAAAGATAAGGGAAACCATGAATGTCCTCTAACTCAAGGGCATAGATGATGCAAGTGCAGGTAAGATAATGACTAAAATATAATTCCTGAGAAAGCAGGAAGTCACTGGTGACATCAGAATGTACCATTTCAGCAGAAGCACTAAAGCGAAGTCATATTTCAGTAAATGCACATACCAAATAATGAATTGATGCTCTAGGGTTCTTATAAACGGAACCAGAAAGTTACCCAGCTCTCCCAGTCCATTTTTTCCCCATTTTAGTTCTTATTATGTAATGATAAAAGACTTTTCCTTAGACAGAAAAAATTGAAAGTCCAGGTTCATATGCTTCCTTGCTGTCTTTTAACGTACTACATTTTCTGGATTTGAGGATAATTGTTTTTGGAATAAAAAAAAAGTCCTCTTGCTATGAAGGCTTCTTTCTGGAGTGGAAAAAGTAATATCAACCTCATAACCTTGTTTTTTTAATTAGACTTTAAGTCCAGGGTTCCACACACAGGAGGATCAATGAACAGTTGTTGAATGTTTACCATATTGTGCCAACAGAGAAATTTGTCATCCTCAAGTGACAAATATGTGTAGATTAGTCTTTGAAAGCAAGACAAGCTGAGAAAATTAAGATATTAATATATGGCCAAAAGGAAATAGGAGAAGGCTTGATCAACTCACGTGCAGCTCTGTGATATTCTGTGGCTTTTGATGTAGCTATTTCACACCATGACTTATAGTAATCATAAAATGAGATTGTTTTAGTTGATCTGGAAATATAAATTAAAATCCAACAATGAGTAGTTTGCAAGTTTTCTTTTTGAAATTATTTATCAGTGGAATTATTTCAAATTACAATAGCATATCATGAGAGAGCAGACTGATTTGTAAATTCTAACATATGAATCCAGCATATTAATTTCTCTATTAATGTATGCAACTTATAAAAAGAAAACCTAGCCAAACCATCTTTCAAAAGGCATAAGATATTTGCCTTCTATGACTAACATTAGAGAAAGCATTGGTTCCTAAATTTTCTTTCTAAAACATACAAGTTTCTTAAATTTCTATGCCAGACTTAGTAAAATACCATCTTTATTTCCTTTTTACTATGAAGAGAAATACACCACCAAAAATTGAGGTTATTATTGTACTTACATAGAATTTGGCCATTTTTAGAGGGAAAAACCCAGCTCATTTCAAATATTGATGCCTGCATTTTTCTCTCCCTATGCTAATATTACTATATACTAACAGGAGATCAAAGATTGTTATAAAATATTAAACAAACTATAAAACCTCTCTTGGACAACTTGCATTTCAAAATTTTTTTCTACAAACTTTTTGAACACAGTGATTCTCAACACTCTATAAACAAAATATTACTGTGGGATATTTTTCAGAAATGAGAAATCACCAATTAGCTGGCTTAAAAAGATGCTTAAACATTAAATGTAAAAGACCTTATGTCTGTTTTCCAGTTTAAATTCCTAGCTCTTTTGGAGAAAGAAGCAACTTTTCGATGAGAAAAAAAAGGCAATTAATTTTTATAAGTAAATTGTAAGTACCTTAAAGTAAATATTTGACTCAATTTTGAAATTTTTGGGGCAACATCTACAAATGTTAATACATTCATTTATTGAAATGATAACTATGGACACCCAGTGTTAAGACTAACATTTTTCAAACATGTTATTATTTTTGCAGTCACACTGAAGTAGAAATCTGAAACTTGGTGAAGATAAATTAATCACTTCTATTGCTTCCAGAGCTCCATGTAGTGCTTTCCACTACTAATTGATATACTAAACTAACATTAATTTGCCAATGAAATGTTTCGGCATTTGGCAATGAAGGTAACAAAATGAAAGGTTGCATTATATCTCCTGTGGAAAAGCTTATGATCAATTTGCTGTCACAGATCATTTAGCAGACAACAATGATCCAAGAGGAAGGAAACTGTCAACACACTGTCTAGTGAAAAAAAAAATACACCATCTTCAGACACAATTGTCTTCATTGTTTTTTGTTCTTTTGACGATGACCCATGACCCTCTCCCTTCCCAGTGGTGTCCTGTTCATTTTCAAACTGCTAGCCCTCAGGGGCTTTCTTTTTTTTTTTCATCCAGAATAATTAAAAATATTATCCTAAAAGATACAACTTTAGTATAGTTTAAATATACAAGCAGAATGTCTGAAATATTTGGGAATATTTGCATTTTCATCTGTCTAAAGGAAACCACCCTTTAAAATAAGAAAACACGGCCCTCCCTGGTGGCGCAGCGGGTTAAAGCACTGCACTAAGAAGCTAAAGCCACTTCCGCATGAGTTCGATCCCCGCCTGCCCCGGAGGAGATCCACATGGCGTGGCAGACATCTCCTGACCCGCCCGCTGCTCCCCTCAGCAGTGTACTTCGTCCATCTGCCTGTTCTGTTCCCCACTCTGTCCCTGGTGAATCCTCTCAACCTCCACATCTCTGGCCTGTACCCCAATTCTGTATGAATAAATAAATAAATCTTTAAAATAAGAAAACACCTATTTTACTATTATTCTGGTAAATTACTGTTTACAAAGCTATATAAAACACAAGATTCATGCATTTATAGTTTCAACCTATAGCAGGAATTTAGTGAATATTAGCTTTGGTATTATGAATATGAGAAAGTAGAAGACATAATTTAAAGTGGGACATCAGTGCTTACTACCCTATTGGGGAAAAGATGCAAACCTGAACTGTATATAGAATAGCTTGATCTATTGTAATAAAATATTACATCATTTCACACAGACATTTGGAAACTACAGATACTTCTTTGGCAGTGGTAATAATAAAAAAGAAAAAATAGATATGATTTTGTTTTGAACTTAGTGAGGAAGTCATCACTTGGGTATGGGTCTGAAACAAGTCAAGAGACCCTCTGGGCCAGGGGAGTGTCTTCATAAGGCTCAGATGGGAAGGACATGGTATGTGCATATGTGCAAACAAAGGATGTTGGGGAAGAGATTATGGTAACAAGATAATGACCAGAGTGTAGAGTTCCAATTTCAGAGGATTTGAAATTAAAAAAATTAAGTGAAACTGGGCAATGCAGGGCTTTCAGTTTTAGGCAGAGAATGGATGTGAGTTGATTCAGAAATTTGACTGATTAGGTAAGAGAGCAGTCAGAAGTTCTCAAATAAGGCAATTGAGAAATCAATGTTTGGGTAAGAGTTTTTTTTTTAGTATTAGTAGGCAGGGTAGATTACATGCGGTTAAGTGCAGGTGGACCAGTCAGGAAATGTATACAGTTGTTTAGGCAGGAGATTCTGAGAGTTAATACTAAAGTGGAAGTAAATACTCTGAAGGGGAGGAGATGAATCTGAGACACCCTAAAGAACTAAATGCACTGGCTGTTTGATAGGGTGTGAAAGGTGAAGAATTTGAGGGTCAAATATTCTTCAAAGCCCAGATGATCAGTTAGTTTTGCTATTAGTAGAAAGCATCTAGAGAAACTGAAGTAAAATATGAGTTCAATTTTAAATGTGGCTTTTAGGTGATGACCTTTAAGAGTATGATTGTGAAACTGGGACTGGAAATATGAGATTTGGATCAAATCAACATAAAGGTTGATAGATGATGCCACAGGGAAAAGCAAACTCCAGAAGAGTAAGTAAATGTTTAGAAAAGAGCAGAAACCAAGTCATAGTTAAACGGAGCCAGTAAAAGAAATAGAAAAGATCATTAAGGAAACAAGAGACCTGAGGTGGTACTATTTCACTGAGGCAATGTCCCAGCCATCAGCAAAACCTCAGTACTAAATCTCCAAATGTCTTTGGAGAAGAACTGTGATGTAGTCCAGAGGTTCAGTGGGTGAGAGGATTCACCAGAGACAGAGCGGGGAACAGAACAGGAAGATCTACTGAAAGGGAGCAGCAGGAGAGATAGGAGAGGTCTGCTGTGCCATATGTGAGTTGGTTCCCTGGCAGGAGATCAAACTCAGGCTATACTGGTGATAGTGCTGAGACTTAACTCCTAGGCCACCAGAGACACCAGTGACAGGATTTTTCAAGGCAGTTGTAAGCAGTCAATGAAACCAAGCATGAAAAGGTCAAGATAGGGAGAAAGCACTGAGGGCCAGCTGGTGTCCTCGGTGACCGTGGCTAAGTACCTCATCATTTCTCTCCTGAGAACTTTAAACAGTTCCTATTTATTTTTCTAACTCAGTCTCTTCCTACTCCAGTTTATCATTACACTGCTTGAAAATCAACCCAAATGCCCCAAAATATTTGATGACTGGGTTAAAAAGACGTGGTACATATACACAATATAATATTACTCAACAATCAAAAATGATAAAATTCATGCCTTTTTGTAGCAACATGGATAGAGCTGGAAAGGATCATGCTCGGTGAAATAAGTCAGAAAGAAAAAGAAAAAGAAAAATATTGGATGGTTTCACTCATAGCAGGAGCATAAGGGATCAGGGGAAAAAGAAAAAAAGAGAGAGAAGCAAATGTAATAAAGTAAAAATGAGAACAATGAATAACTATAAACCAGAGACATGGTATGGGGTGGAAAGGGAATGGGATAAAAACTGGGGTGGGAAGAGGGCATGAGAGTATGGTGATGGCACATGGGTGAATTGGTGATGACTGCAAATGAGATGGAAAATGTACAAAATGAAGAATGATATACAAAAAACATATATATATATCTATATATATCTTATATATCTAATTATTGTTTAAAATATCTAACCAAATAAAACCTAGAATTCATTCACTTTGCCCTCTCTTCTCCCTCTTCGAGCTTTAGGTCCTGAACCCTAGCCTGAACCACCACCATCTCTCCCCTGTTCTACAAAAATAACCCAATTCTTCTAGCTTTCACCTTACATTCTTCACAAAACTCCCCCATGCAGCAATTAAACTAACCCTTTAAAAATGTAAATCTCATTAAGTCCTTCCCCTTCTTAAAACTGTATCCCAAAAACTCACTGCAAGGCTAGTAAAATCCAAATTTTTTACCTGGTTTATAAAGCCCTCAGTGATTTGACCTAGCCTATTTCTCTTACCTCATCTATTCCTCTCCTCTTTCTCCCTTGCTTGTTCATGTTACAGTGATCTTTCTGATTCTTGAGTACAGCATGCTCAGGTCCAATTTAGGGCTTGCATGCTTAGTTATTACCTCTGCCTAGAATCTTAGTGTATCTGTTAAGTCACCACTCTCTCCCAATCCTTCACTCCTGGGTGATTTTTGACTAAAACTAAAGTTAAATTATTCTCCCAGACCTCAATTTTGTGTCCTGTCATCAGTTCTGGATCGTCACATTACCATGTGGTTACCTTGCTGCCTATCTGAAGAGGGACTCAATGTCTTGGACAAAGCACTAAATAGCCAGTTTTTGTCCCAGAACAGGGTTTCTCCTTTTTCCTTGGTGATGACTCAGCACTAAAGATCATGTCTATTTCCACCCACCTGATAGGGGAGTGACAAGGTCAATGCTCTTGCTGCCATATAACACTTAATCACTCTGTCAGTGGCTGTAGGTCTTCCAACTCTGAGCTTCTTACACTTTGAGGTGCAGAGTCCCTCAACAGAATGCTGTCTCCTATTCTAGCACAGAGCCCTGATCTAAGGGTTTCTTCTTCAATGTGCTGTTTTGGCTTCAGTCTCTTGGGAACATTTTACATTTCCTCATTGATGGTCCCTGTTTGGAGCATACTTATTTGTCCTTGTTCTTTCTTAATGTTAAAAACATAGTTTAGGATGCAGGAAGGGAGGCAAGGGTACATGTAGAGATTGCCAATTGAACCCAAAAGTTCAATAATAATAATAGAATAACAGCTAACCCTTAAATGACAGGTACCATTATAAGTGGTTTACACATATTAAGCAATTTACTCTCAATACTAATTCTATGTATGGTATTATTATTATTGTTACCATTATGGAATGAAGAAACTGAGGCATAGAGAAGTTAATTCACAAATTTTAGTGCCATCGGTAGCAAATGGGAGAAGAGGGATCTTTGACTTGCTATACTATACTCTTGTCAATGTGTGTGTGCATGTGTGTGAGATAATGCCAAATATTTCATAACCCACTTTCACCTACCTCTAATGTTAATAAATATAAGTATTCAGAGTCAAGCCCAAAGTTATTTTTGGGTCTTATGTAGTTAAATAAAATTTACTTACTTAATGTATTTTGTTGGTCACTCTGTTTTCAACTTTAAGCAATTCTATGATGAACATTCTTGTAATCTATATTTATGCACTTGTTCAAATAGATCCTCAAAGATAAATTTCAAGACGTGGAATTGCTATGCCAAAGCCATGTCTTGTTCCAGAACTTTTAATGTGCTATGCAAATGTTATGCTATTGTCTGTGCTGCAGACAATTATTTAAGTACCCCCCAGACATTCATATTTACTATTCTGACTTTCTAGGTCTCATTTTCCTCTTTTCTGGATTATTTATCAACCTTCCCCCCTCTCTCCTCTAATTTTGTGTGTCAGTTTCATGATGTCAAGTTCTAGCATGTTGTGTTAAAGTCACATAGTGCTATGAGCAGCATCTTTTTTTAATTTCTGTAAGATTTCATTGTGGCTGCTCTATTTAAAAAATAAAAGCTAGCTATAACTTAGTTTATTCCTGTGACAATATACCAGAGGCAAATGTTAGAATTCATTAATAACAAATTACAGCTTAGTATATACTAGGAAAATGGAATATCATTGAAATTTATATTGTATGGCTTCAACTGAATCCTAGAGGTTTCTCTAGAGATACCAGGCTAGAACTAGGTTAGTTCCACAAACCAGACCTGATTTTTGCTTCATTTATGCTTGTTTTTTTCAGAACCTACTGAAGCTAGCACCAGAAAAGTTCTTCTGGTCTGTTTTATTATTAAACACTGGCACTGTGTTGTATACCACTATCAAAAAGAACTTTTTGCTATTCCAGGGATATTTATGTTTTATAAGTGATAGAACAATGTTTATGCATATTCAAGAACTACCTCAGTCTACTATGTGCCAACTGATTCTCTCCACGTTGACAAACTGAAGGGGTAGCAATGTTCTCTGCTGAATCCCAACATAATGAGCTACTCACTAGAATAAGCTTACATTTCCACAAATTTCTAACATTGTTTCACAAATTGAAACCATTTAAGTTACTAAATTTTATTCACCTTAATAGAGAGCCAGTCAAGGAAACCAGGGCCAAACCAAGCATATATGATGATGTACTATATCAAAATAAGACTAATGGAAATATTCAAGATATTAAATGCTGTGGATCACATATACTATAGATGTCTACCTTGTTCAGAGATTCAAGACTGAATTGATGCCATTCTACAAGGCTGTCTCCAAAGTGCCCCATGGCTTTAGCCCCACACCTCTCACCACTTCCCCCCAGAACATTTACCTTCTTATCAATTGTTTGGATTTTTGTGATCTCAAATCTATAATGCTGACAACTTATTTTTTTCATTTTCAACAATGAAAAGAAAAAATTAAAAGGGTAGAAAAGCCAAATATTTATCTTCAAGTTTAATTTAATAGCCTAGAAGGAATTCTCCACATTCTTCCTGAAAACATTTAAAAGATGATACTGGAAAAGAAAAAAGATATCTACATGCTTTCAAAATTAAAAAACTGAAAATTCAATTATGATAGAAATTATAAGCAGTTTAAGTCAACAGTGCTTTTAGTAAAAATATTGACATAGAATTGTATAAAGGAAAGCTTACTTGATGATTTTATCTGGGTTTTTAGGTATCTCAGGCCTGTCATCTTTCACTGTAAAGAAAAATGAAAGGATTCTGGTTTAGTTGGAAGACTGAATATATGAACGCATGTGCTTTCTCCCCAAAGCCTCAGTAAAATAGAAGTAAAGGAATAAAAATAAGATATAAACTGTCAGGTAGAGTAAAAGAAAGGTGAGAAAAAATTTAAGATAGGAAGATGTCAAATATAACTACTTTAGCAGGCCACAGCAATTTGAGACCTAACTACATAATAGAGGAGCCAATAAAAGGCAAGGAGATTTACATTTCACAACTTGAGAAACAGGTCAGGAATTGGAGATGGCAAATACCTTTAAAAGGTGAGAGATACAGTACAGATACCAAAGATGTATGTCCTCATCCAGGGCAACCAGATGACCACCACTGCCTACACAGCAAGGGGAAACTGAGTCTCAGAGACTCAGGGTTGGGAGATACTAGGTATAGAACAGAACAAGTATATGGCAAAGGTTTGAAAGCAGGGAATCAATCAATAATTCATATTGAATAGAAGATCCCTTACTCTCTCCCCTTTACCGGCTCCTAGAATGTAAACAAGTGTTTTTCTTCCTCTGGGTACAAGGTAGAAGATTTATCACAGGAGATATAATTAAGCTTTACTAAAGGTATGACTAGGTCCTTACTGAAAAATCCTACAGTGAAAGCAAAACAACCCATGAACAAGCGCACTCTATTCAGAATGTCCATTTTTATAATGTGCTATTTATCATAAGTATAAGATAGGAATGGATAGTTAAAGATCACTACAGACTTAAAGTCAATATCTTGAAAGGTAACAATCAAAACAGGCTACAAATTGCAAATGGAAGCATATTTTTTTGGAAATCTCCAGAATAAAGAGCAAAGGGAGATAAATAATAGGAGAAAATAGATTTAAAAAATTTAAAGGATAAGGCCAGTAGACCCTAAATATCTAAGCATTTATATATTTAAATGAGAACAGGAAAATGGAGTGGAAAGAAGTTATAAAAGAAATCACTTAAAATTTTCTAAATGTGGCCCTCCCTGGTGGCGCAGCGGGTTAAAAGCACAGCACTAAGAAGCTTAAGCCACTTCCGCATGAGTTGGATTCCTGCCTGCCCGGGATGAGATCCACATGGCGAGGCAGACCTCTCTAGTGGCCCGTCCACTGCTCCCCTCAGCAGTGTACTTCGTCGATCTACCTATCTACCTGTTCTGCTCCCCACTCTGTCTCTGGTGAATCCTCTCACCCTCCGCATCTCTGACCTGTACCCCAGTTCTGTACGAATAAATAAATAAATTAAAAAAAAATTTTTTTCTAAATGCAAGGCATTACAGTTTGCTATTTTAACAGTCTAGAAAATGCTGTACGTGATGCACGAGGAGGCAAGGGAAAAACAAAACCACACCAAGAAATAATGAAGACATTTCAGAATCTTGGGGAAAAAATTTTAAAAGATTCCAGAATGAGAATAAATCACATGTGAAGAAATTGACATCTGAATGAAATCAGACTTCTCAAGAACATCACTAAAACTAGAAAGTAATAGAGTCCTTACAATTCTCAAAGAAAATTGTTTATAAACTAAAATTTAACCAAATTATGAACAGGTGACTGTGGAATAAATACATTCTTAGGGCCTCAAAGTCAAACAAGATTTAGTTTTCGTGTACCCAGAAACACCTGGGAGTAGATATCTCCAACAAAATGAAGGAGCACACCAACCAAGAGAAAAAATTACAAGTCAAGCAGGAGCTCCAACCCCAGAAGTAGGCACAAGGGCCTTCCCAGAATCCTCAGAAAGAACTGCCACTTCAGAATGTAAGAGGATGAGAACCACAGAAAGATGTCTCCACAGTGGAACTGCACTAGCTGAAAACCTGAGAGTGATTTTAAGTGTTGCAAATGCTTTAGGGGCAGAATAGATGGTAGGTATTTATTTTAAAACAAACAAACAAGAAAATGGGAAATAAGGTCATTTGTATAAGAAAAGAAAAATACTGTTGATAGTTCATCTGTGATGAACATTTATTAAGCCATATTAATGTAACCAAACTTTACTAGGAGGAAAGATGGTTGAAACGTCAGTACAAAAGCTAGACATTTATCCTTCAGAAGAAGACTGCACATCATTTCTTATTGAAACTCCAGAAATATTAATACAGAATAAACTTAGAATTCTGGTGGTAAATTCCAAAAGAACCAGCCAAATATGTTGATAGCTGTTAGTGTTTTGCGGGGCCCCACTGGGGTCTAAGGTCTGCCATATCTCATTAATAACCAACTTATATTACTTATTCTTTAAAGTATGAGCATGCATTTATTTGATAGGAAATAGATATTTAACAATTTTAGTTAAAATATGCAACTTAGAGACTCTACTAAAAAGTTACTGGATTACATGGTACAATGAAATACAAACAGAAAAAAAAAAAAGGAGTTTATAACCCCAGCTGATACATATACACACGCACACACCATCCTGTTAAACTTAGGTTTTTCCATATGTCCTGACACCTGCAGATAATAGTCTAACAGTAACAATACTGTAACATCAACAACAATATTGCATTAAGTGATGGTATGAAAATTTATACTCTAAGCTTCTGCACAACAAGAGAAATCATCAGTAAAATAAAAAGACCCCCAACTGAACTGGAGAAAATATTTGCACATTACACATCTAACAGGCAGCTGGTATCCAAGATCTTCAAGTAACTTGGATAACTCAATGTAAAAGAAAATAAAGAACCAATTTTTAAAAATGGGGAAAAGAGCCAATAGACACTTCTCTAAAGAAGACATACAAATGGCTGACACACACATAAAAAATGCTCATAATGACTTATCACCAGGAAAATACAAATCCAAACCACAATGAGATACTATCTCACCCTAACTGTACGTAAGGAACAGAGGTCACAGTTCATAAGGAGAAGGCACTGCTAGGATATGGGAAGGTCACTGGGATCTCCACTAACTTGGTTTGACCTCATACCTTAACATGTTTTTGTTAATAAACCTGGGTAAAGACCATGCTATTCAGACTAGGGAAAGTTTGGAGAATAAGAGGCATTTTCATGATTACATACCAAATATCAGACTTAGATTGAAGATAGCTAGAGTAACTACAGCCAATTGATTGAGAGGAGGAAAAGTTCTCAATAGTTTCAAGCTACATTGTCACAAAGAAGGGCCAAAACTTCTTGTTCTGGATTTCACTGGCTACAACCTAGCAGACCTATATATTAGTCCAACTTCAGTTGTCTGGGGCAACAGACAAGAAATATTTTTTTTTTCTATAGGAAATTCCTTTTAATGCTTGAAGACAGCTTTTACAATTGCTCTTATCTTTTTCTACAATTAGCTGAAGTTACACAGTTTCTTCAGCCAAAGGTAATGTGATGCCGCATAATGAGCATATTGGTTTCCCGGAGCAGAGTAAAGCACATAGTGAAATTTTCATTCTTAGCTTACATTAAATTTGTGATCAAATCACTCCTGAGAATGTTTTTTGTAGAATAGAGTTCTACTATCAAGTCCCTCCCATTTTCTCCTGGGGAATTTTAATTCCTTGATCCCAAAAGAATGACTTTATGTTCAATCCATAAAACACGGGGACACAGTGGAAGTAGGGATGGGGTTGAGACCCTGGTGCTGCTTGGTGTCTGTAGTCTGTACTATACCCATCATCCCTGATCCTGGCTTCCTTCTGAGAAAGAGGCTGTGAGGATCAAATGAGTAAATGTGAAAGTACTTTGTAAACTAAGAAGTAAAATCATGATCTAAGATTATATGTATTTTTTCATTCCTTCAATCTATGAATTTTTATTTGATACCAATAGCCAGATACTAGGCTGGGAACAGAGGATATAGTTGAACCCTATAATTAGGTTTACAAGCTAGGTGCCTTTTGAGTTTCTAGTTTATACAATTAACTATCTGTTCCAGTTTTCTGTTATCTAAAAATGTGGTAAAACTCCTATGCTTTCTCTAGATCTTCTGGTTAAGATTTTGCATGTATACCAGTCTCACTGCACTTAGCAGAGAATTTTTTAAGCTGTTACAAGAAATTAATTCTCTTAGAGTGAATTTTTCATAAATCTTACATAGCACCTAACTTTGAATGAATGAGTTGTCTGCACTTTTCAATCCTCACTCATGCAGCAGTATCTACAGTATTGGGGTTGTTATTTTCTTAGAGGGGTTCAGAAAATCACTGTTTCCACAACACCCTAGGCTACTGTGCTGCTGAGATGGCAAGCAAGCTGATAACAATTTACTGTCTTGGATTTTCACATCTTACACCAAAATAACTAAATAACAAAGTGAAAATCAACCAAAGTACTATTTCTTTGTTCATTTGCTAGGTGATTTTTGCAATTTGGGCAGCTTTCATATCTGGTGATGGCAGAAATAAAAGGAATGAAGGATGATCTCTACCTGACAGAAGACAAAAGAGCCAACTTCTTTTCAGTTTTCTTTTCATCCTGTCTTTGCACAACAAAAACAAACTATTGCTCATAGAATTATTTACTGCAGAAAATTCATTAAAATTAGTTTTTAAAATTCCATCCACGAGAATATGGACACAGCTCTGTCAGACCTTTGATTATAATTGTAAAGTAGGGCTCCCTGAAAGATTAAGTTATTTGTTTTATTCATTCTTTCATTCCACAAATGTTTAGTAAGTGCAAACTAGTGCAAACTCTGTATGCAAACCAGTCTCAAAACTGTCAGGGAATGTTTGAGGAACTCAATGGCGATCGTGACATGTTTGAAGACATCAATAAAGATGCCTGACCACAACCTCTTCTTTTGTATCAGACCCAGAATCCCTGTGGAAGAGAACACTTGAGCTTGGTCACAAATTTACAGATTTGGTAATTGGACTGGTGGGTCCTAGAAGAGAACTGGAAGAAGGAGACAATGGACAGCTGAGAGAGCAAGCACATGAGAGATTAGTTTAATGGAGTGAGTCTGAATAATACGAGTCACTAGGTGAGGTTGCTCCAAGAAAAAGAGGCAGAAGGAGGCGGCGGCAGGGCAGGGTACAAAGAAAAGAACTATGTCACTAGGGGCCCAACCCTGGTTTGTGACCAACTTGTCTTGGCATAAGGAGCCAATGACCTTGTTCTGTAAAATGTACAGAGCACACAGGAGCAATGGAAGCTGTGCAGTTAAGATGGCAGGATGAGAATAAGCATCAAGAGTATCAGAAAAACTGGTCAACAGAGCGGAAAGATTGAAGAATTTCAGTTGCCATTTCCACAGGGACTCTTAGAAGGAATACCTGGGGGAGAATTCAGCAGGATTTTTTTTTCCAGATTGAGGAAAGGGGTCCTGAATCAGTAAAATCTGGGTAGTGCAGGTATAATCTGAGGAATAATTACCACAGACCAAATAATTGAATTGTGTCATATATTTATAATTGGTATCATCTATCCATATCATTATAGCATTTAAAGAAAATAAATTTATGATATTTGATTTTTTTTTTAAAGATCACACTGGTTTGACAAGTACAATAGTTCTCAGTAAGACTGCATTTTTGAGATAGATACAGAAAGCATTCCCCTATATAAGCCTTTGCTAGATAAGTTAATTGCTATAAATGTGTATTTAATAAGTTGCAAATAATAAGTAGGTTCTTCTTACATAGTAATGGCTGTTGGGAAAGTCTCTGCACTATGAGTCTGTACTTGGATTCATCTGTAGTCAATATTTTGGCTGCTTCCAAATTCACTGGATTTTCTAGCATGGGATTAGACAGCATAACCTATAGGAAAACACAGAATATAGAGTTTATACTGTCAAATTCTTTCTTTGAGCAAAAAGATAAACATATAAGAAATATTTATTAAATGCCTACTATGTATCTAATTAGAGAGCGAGCCAAATAGATATGGTCCCTAGATTCAAAAAACATGAAAAAGAGTTTCCAAATTTGTTTAAGAAAATATATTTCCTTAAATGTTAGTCAGACAAGAAAATTTCAACCTGAGTTATATGTACATCTTATTTTGGGATGACGATAACGTGTGTTAGTGAAACCATGGGCTTTTTGTGTATATTTAACGTTTTTTTTTTCTGAAAAGGACCATTTTTCATTTTTTCTTAAATGTATCTATCCTAACAGCTAAGAACCAGTGAGCCAGACCACATCTTTCAATGTATATTATAAGAGTTGTTTATTACAATGAATGGTTTATAGTATAAGGAATGCTATTTTCATTAAAAAGTCACCTACATTTAAAACTCTGTGCTAATCAATGACCTCAGTCATCCCAATACTTATGGGATGCAAAACTATTTCCTGTTTTTGATGTCAAATATGCAAGGTGTCAAATTGGGGAAGACTGGGTGAAGATTTGCATAAGCCCTTCCCATACATTTCTTTGCAACTTCCTATTAATCTGTACTTACTTTATCTTGAAATAAATATTTTTAAATGTATTTTTTATTGATGTCATAGTGGCTTACAACACTATGTATGGTTTAGGGATGTAGGGGCCTCTTTAGATGTTTTACCATACCATACATACAGCCAAAACCATACATACAGCCAAAGTCCTAACAATCCTCTATTATAGTTCTTTAGGTACCCTCCCTTTGTTAGGGATGTAGGGGTCACCTGTTCAGATGTTTTACCATACCATACATACAGCCAAAGTCCTAACAAAGCTCCTATAGTTCTTTAGGTACCCTCCCTTTGTTCCCCTCTGGTAGTCTCAATTCTACACTTAATTTTGCCTATTTCTTTGTTTTGTTTCTTTATATTCCACATAGAGAAATCATCCAACACTTGTCTTCCTCCTTCTGACTTATCTCAGCATAGTCCTCTCCAATCCCTCCCATATTGTTGCAAATGGCAAGATTTCTCATTCATCTTGGCTTTACACTGTACATTCATGAGCCAAACAACAGGATCAAAGTAACTTATAAAGTCCTTCTGTAGCTTATTCCTTTCTATCACATGAATTTAAATTGAATTTATGTGTAAAGAGAACTAAACATGAGGAAACACCAAAACACTTCCACTAAAAAAATGAACACATTTTAACAGGAGATCAAATTTAGATCACAGATAAACAAACTCATGTATTGAGGCTTGTGTACACTTCAAAATCCCTCCAGATATATGAATGATTAATTTGGTGTCTGCAGTAGTTTTCTATCGCTGCTGTAACAAATTACAGAATTTGGCAGCTTAAAAGAACACAAGTGCATTATCTAACATTTCTGCAGGTGGGAAGTATGGGGTGGTTGGTCTGGCTTCCTTTTTCAGATTTAGTAAGACTGAAATCACTGCAGTACTTTGTTCAGAAGTTCTAAAAAAAGTGTACTTCCACATTCATCCAGGTTGTTTGTTAGCAGAATACAGTCACTTGCATTTGTAGGAGTGAAGTCCCTTTTTCTGTACTGGCTGTTAGCTGGGGGTCACCCTCAGAGAGACCATCCATCCAAGAACGCTCTTGCTTGTCCTTAATCTTAGACTCCTACATCTCAGAGGCAACAAAGGTATGGAAACCCTGCTTATTATACCTGATATCTTTCTGACCACCCCTATCACATTCCTTTCTTCTTCCTTCCACTGTATTTCAAGTGACTCTTCTGTCTTCCCATTCATTGTTAAGGGTTCATGTGATTATTTTCAGGCCAACCGGCACAGAATTTAGCATAGCCTTCCTATTTTAAAGTGAGTTGACTAGTAACCATAATTCCATTTGCAAAGTTCTTTACAGCAGTACTGGGCTAGAGTTTGTTTGGATAACCAGAGGTGGTGGTGGTTGGGGGGTGTGGGGGGACATCTTTAAATTCTGCCTAATATAGCTTTGCATCTGGACAAAACAGGTGATCAATCATAACAAACTTAGTAGTTCTGCCAGGCCATGATCTTGTTTATTTGGCACCTCAAAATTAATATTAACCAAATTGCAAATGTTTCTTTTGTAATTCATTATTTTGAATGATATGCTAACTATATTTCAAAATATACACAAAATAATTACAACCAGAATTCCTAAGTGTAGATGCAGGTCAAGGTGGATAACTGTCCTGAGAGTCATAGAAGTGATGGCAAGCTTTTGCAATATTCCTCCATCTAATATTTGAAAAGCAACAAGAATATTCTGCTGCTTTTTGAATTCCTTGTTTAGAAAACACATTGGACAGCATTTCTAAGAACACTGAATTGCTCAAGTAAGGATTCAGAAGGGGCTACCCTAAATCTTCCAAAGTTGGTGGAATGTAAGTGAAACCTCTTTAAGAGCAAGCTTTTAGTCTTTGGCTGGAGAGATAACCTTCATCAGGCAGAGACATCTTTTGAAGTTTATTCAATAATTTTTGCATTAACTGTGCCAAAGCCTTCTCATATAAAACATATACAAGCTATTAAGTATGCTTGATTATTGTTACAAACTGGAATTTAAAGAATATTTTAAAACATATATATGAAACACTGTGCTAAAATAGTAAAAAATAAATAGTAAAAAAAAATGGTATAAAATACCATTTAGCCACATGGTAGGAAGAAATAACTCTAGAGGAGTACTTCTCCAGAAGATAAACAGAAATTCTGAAGCACTAGTAAACTTCTACAACAGCAGGTATGTTGCATTACATCCAATTATTAAAGCCCATGCATTTGGAATTCATCCTATGGATGGGTGTTAGTATGCAGTTGAACAAGTGTTCAAAGAAATTAGGATTATAAAGTTTTTAGAAGAGATAACTAGCATATTTAGACCTTAAAGTATTTTAAGCACCATTTTTAAGTATTAACCTTTGACCAACAGTGTAATAATTATGTTTCTCACATTATCAAAAGGATAGCTGACACATACAATGTAGGCTTTAGACACCATGGGTATTCAAATTTTATTACTTAAAATTAAATAAAATGAAAAACTCAGTGTCCCTCAACTATATTATCCACATTTCAGTGTTCAGTAGCCACAGATGACTAGTGGCTACTGTATAGGTCAGGCTTGGTATCTCCATCAATGCAGAAAGTTCATTGAGTATCACTGACCTTCAAAGGTTTATGACAGTATGTAAAACAAGTAGCACACATTTTCATAAGCAAATGACAGTGCTGAACATTTTAAGTTGTGATCATTTGATTCACTCCTCTGAGGGAGGCAAAGTTCCTTATGAATGAAGAAAGATCTAAACACATGTAGTATGATGAAGTTTGAGCCCAAAGAAAACCTAAGATTATTTCCAGAATTAAAATAGTTCCTTCCCTCTTTTCTAAAACATGAATTCTTTGGTTGTGAAGGGCATTCAATGGGAATTTCATTTTGAAAAAATAGCCCTTATAATTCAAGTTCCATTTTATCATTGTAGAAATGTTGATTTAAATAAGTTTACTCAAATTCTATAAACATTCAAATATGCATTGTACATCTGATCCCTTATATTTTGAATAACTGGGATAAATGAAAGAACTAAAGAGAGCATTATGCTAACATGTCCTTACCTGGAGGCTAAGTAAGATGCTGCTTAATGTATATCTGGTATTCCACTTACTAGGATTGTCCAAGAAATCTATACAGGGCTGACCAGTATGTTGATCTACTGTATTGAAATAATGCAATAATGTTAACACATTTAACAAAATTATTATTTAAAAATTATGAACATTAAGATATAGGCAAAATCAGAAAACACATGCCAAATCAGGAAAATAATTGCAACAACCCTCACTTGTTATGTGGCTTTGTTTAATTCAGTAATTCCACTCTTGCTATGTGATAACATTATTAATAAGTCTGACAATTCACAAAACTAAGAAATTCAACCAATAGACTTGAAAAAGTGCTTAACTTATATGCATTCAAAGTGTTTGTTGAAATAGCGAGGTTATCAAAGCAGCAAAAAAATTTCTACAAAATTTCAATGCCCAGATTGGAGAGTGCTAAAATAAGAACCTTATATATACTTCCTGGTATGAGTAAAAATACAATCACTGAAAGGCAACTGGGTTTCATTTATCTGAAGACACAGAACCTTACATAATCATCTTCTGGAGTTTGGGGCTTATCAACAACAGTCCATTCCTCCCAAGTTCATATGTAATAAAACAGACCAAGGTTGAAATGGACTTAAAAAGCAAACATCAACACTACCTAAGACTGTAATGGAGAATAATAAACTTGATCACACCTTTAAGGGGATTCTGCACAAGTCCCACTGAATTGAACTTTCCACCCCCAAACTAAGCTTTCTACCTAACAGATGGTTGAAGAGAGTGTTGAGAAACTTCTGAGTTACACATGCTCAGTTTCTTCTTCTATTTCCCTAAATAAATAAGTCATTCCCTATCAGAGGGGTGAGCAAAGAAAAAAGTACTATTGTTTTCTCATATTTGTTCTGGATACCAAGTTTGAGCTACTCTACAGAAAGGAAAGGGATGAGAACAGGGGATCAGAACAACCCTCACTTGTTACGTGGCTTTGTTTAATTCAGTAATTCCACTCTTTGCTTATTTTAAGCACATAAATGGCAAATGTACACAATATATATTTTTTAAAGATTTATTTATTTGTGCATACAGAACTGGGGTATAGGTCAGAGGTGTAGGGGCAGTGAGAGAATTCACCAGAGACAGAGTGGGGAGCAGAACAGGCAGACTGTCATAGTACACTGCTGAGGGGAGCAACGGACGGGTGTGGAGAGGTCTGCACCTCTGGGGCAGGCGGAATCGAACTCATGCTGAAGTGGCGTGAGCTTCTTGGTGCTGTGCTTTAACCAGCTGCACCATCAGGGAGAGCCCAAAATTTTTTATTCTAAATTTAATCTCGTCCTTTAAAAATAGGTCTTAATTACGAAATAAGGTACTTGAAAATAATATACTTGAAAAAATTTACATAAAAGTATATAAAGGTAAAATAAGAATTAATGCTACTTTTCAGTTATTGCCAGTTGGTCTAGATAAACACACAAAAGTATGCGCGTATGACTTTGTTTATTATTCTCTGCTACTCCCATCTACCTTTGTTCCCTAATTATTCCATTTAATGTCAGGAGAATTTTTTTAAATAAATGAACAGTATTGGGGGCTCCCTGGTGGTGCAGGGGTTAAAGACAGCCCTATCAAGCTATTCCAGCCTCTGCAACACTAGTTCAAACCCCACCCACCAGGAGGTGACCTGGAAAACTTCTATCTCACCTACTGCTCCCCTCAGCAGTGTATTTCAGAACATTGACCTGTTCTGCTCCCTACTTTGTCTCTGGTGAATCCTCTCACCCCCCACACCTCTGACCTGTACCATGGTTCTTGTATGCATAAATAAAAAAATCTTTTAAAAATAAATAAATGAACTGCATTTTCATTTTATTCTTCAAAGGGTTTTTTTTTTCATTTATAAATTGCCAACATATCTCTGGACATACTTATTTTTAAAATATCTGAGCATGGGCCCTCTCTGGTGGCGCAGCGGGTTAAAGCACAGCACTGAGAAGCTAAAGCCACTTCCGCATGAGTTCAATTCCCGCCTGCCCCGGAGGTGACCACATGGCGTGGCAGACCTCTCCTGACCCGCCCGCTGCTCCCCTCAGCAGTGTGCTTCCTCGATCTGCCTGTTCTGCTCCCAACTCTGTCTCTGGTGAAGCCTCTCACCGCCCCTGAGCCTCTGACCTGTACCCCAGTTCTGTATGTACAAATAAATAAATCTTTAAAAAAAAAATATCTGAGCATGAACCATCTTCCAGACAGTATAGATTCTAGGGATATAGCAATGACCATAAGTCTAAAGCTTCCTTATTACATTTAAAGCAACATATACAGGTATAGGATGTTTTACTTAAAAATGCTTATATTAATGGACATTGTTTCCCTCCCCCCATTTCTAAAACAGCTATTGGGAAAACATCTTTAAGTATTAAATATATTCTTTATACATTTATGAAAGCATTTATATGAAATAATTTATTAACATGGTATTACAGGAATTTAGAGCTACTTGTATTTTATATTGATTAGAAACTATCAAATTGTTTCCCAAAAAGGTGACAGAAAGGTACTCATGTCAGTGATGACATTTGTCCACTTCTGCTAAAATTGGATACTATTTTTTAAAATTTGCAAACATAGCTTATGAATCATATTTTAGCTTTAATATTCATTTATTTTCTTACTAATTGAAGCTGCACATTTTTGTTCTGTTTCTCCTATCATGTGCTTATAGCTTTTACCATTTTTCTATAGTTTTATGTGTTTTTTCTTATTGGTTCACAATGCTCTTCATATGTTATGGATATCTGTTTCTTATATTGTAATTATCCTCCTCAGTTTGCAAAAGCTAATGTATAGTATATCCCTTTTAATAATGTCATTGGCTGTGGAGACATTATTAAAAAGCTCATGAAGTTTAATTTGTCATGGTTTTCTCATGAGATAAAACCATGGGCTCACTAAGCCCATACAAATTCTACTGGATTTTTTCTGTTTATCATCTAAAACTTTTAGATTTTTTTCATCCATCTGAAATTCACCATGTGGGTAGCTAAATTGATGTAACAATTTAACTTATGTTTTCTAAAATATTAAGTTATTAATACATCATTTCTTAATTTTAAAAAAGATATAACTAAAATAGTGAATAACACTATGGTTTTATATATATATGCATATATATATTAGAATGGTTAAATTTCTGATTCAGTCATTAAAAATGATCTTTTGAAGAATGATTAATGCAGAAATATGTAACTTAAGTAAAAAACTGCAATAGATGCAAAACTTTATATGTAATACCTCAGCCCCATAGAAAATATATATACGTAGAAAAAAACAAACAAAAAAAATGATAGTTTCCCTTTGAATTATGAGTTAAAGTGCTAATTTCTCCACCTTTTAAAATTCTCCAATAGTGATTAAAATTTCATTTGGTCCTTACCATTGGGATGAAAAGGAATTGTTTTAAATTTCACAACTGGTGGGACCAAGTTGTACTTCAATGTAAAATTTATTTTCAGTTGGAAGAATAATCCTATGATATAGAAAGAAACAATTTTATTCAAGTGTCATGTTGTTCTGATAACTCGAACCCTCAAGTTTCTTCTTATAGTTTAATTTTCCCAGCCTTTCTAATTGTATTACACAGACTCCTCTAAGTAGTATAATAGTCTCTCCATTATTTACTCACACTGAACACAGTTACAGCCTGTATCCCAAAAGTCCGTTTCATGCACTTACTCCATCATCCTAACACCTGCACATTTCACTGTGTAGGTCTGTAACTCACTGCTCCATACCCTATCTTGTCCATAAGATTTTCTCATGCCGTTTACTCTGTCTGGATTTCTTTCCCCTTTTCCTAAACCTGTAAAACTTTTCTACATTATTCAGGACTCAACTCAAACTCAAAATCCATTCCTAACTCCTCAAAGCACAATTAACTAATCACTGTCTCCTTGGTGTTTTGTTTAGAATACATAATAGCACATGTTCTTTATTATAATTGTCATTTACATGGCTTCCCCCCACACATACCTCACTAAACAATCTCATTAACCCACAAGTGAAAAAGAGAATGCTAACTAAAATGTATAGTGACCCAGTCTTCTTGAGAATTTGATTTATGGAAATTTGTGGGAAAATGATAGAGGAAAAAAATGAAATGCAGGAGTTTGATGTCAGCAGGAATTTTGACATCTATTCTCTTTCACAAAAGACTTGTAAATGACATTTTCAATTAATATTACTTATTGTGTCTACTTCTTAATTGTAATAACCTTAATATTTGGCACAAAGAAAAATTCAGTCATAAAATGTCCATCTATGTCAATATGACCAAAAAATTTAAGCCATATACTTTTAATTTTAAAAAATAATATAATAGTTTATTTTTACATCATTTTGTGCCTTTTCCCATCTCAGTTGTAATTCTCTCTCAGTTGGTGATGGTGGGCTTCCCATCACCAAATCACCTGTTTGCCATCACCATAGTCCAGTGCACTTCCTCCCACTGTTTTTGATCCCATTCTCCATTCCACCCCCATAAAATGTCTCTGGGATATAGTTGTTCATTATTATTATTATTTTCTCCGCTGGTTCTTTATACTCCTTCTATGAGTGAAACCATCTGGTATTTTTCCTTTTCTTTCTGGCTTATTTCACTAAGCATGATTTTTCCATTTTTCCAGCTCCATCCATGTTGCTGCAAAAGGCATGTGTGTGTGTTTTTTTTTGGTTGCTGAGTAATATTCCATTGTGTATATATACCACATCTTTTTAATCCAGTCATCTACTTTTTAAGCCACAAAGTCATGCAAACACTTTGAGAAGTCTAGAAAATTTATATGATACAACTTTATAAATAGAAAGAAAATAAATTGCTATTGGTATAACTTTTGAAAAAGTTACTGGTTTTGAAAACAAACCTTGCCAGGCTGTATCCTGTAGACCTTCAATCTGTGCTTCCCATTCCATCAAATCTTCATTCACAGGAAAGGCACTTATACCCTTTAATTAAAAAAAAATCAAAGCAAAAATAAAGATTAAATGAGTCAAAACTTATTTAATCAATTAAATCAAAGATTTGAAAATCAAAAATAAGGTTACAAAGAATTCCAAAATCTCATTTTCTTTTTCTAATAATTAGTTGATGGGGTGGGGGGAAGAGCTACATATGCCTTATTTCACGGAAGGTAAATTCTAGGAAACATGCAGTAATAAATTTAAAATAAGTGATAGGCATAGAAATAACCAGTGGAATGAAGGACCAGGACTGGGATGTGTGATTTAGGGACGTCAATTTAAGATAGACAAGAACGAAATAAGTTGAAAAGCATGGGCTCTTATGGATGTCTTCGCTGAAGACAAGCAACCAAAACAAAAGCAAACAAACAAACAAAAAACTTTAAAATACAATTCTAAAATTATGCTTGTATACAAGGATAAATTTGTCGTAAGCTTTGGGGTCCAAATCAGGGACAAGAATGTATTTTATAGAAAACCTATCAGGTCGGCTGAAGAATCCACTTAAATATGCTCAACATTTCTGAGCAACCACATAGCTATCATACACACTAATCTGAATAAACACTAAACGGTCACCTACATTTTCTGTATTCACAGAGAAACTGAATTCTGTTCCAGCAGCTTTTCAAAGTTCAGGTAGGGCACAAACGCCAGGTTAAGCTCCCCATGTGGAAGGGCTGAGGCTCACTCCAGGACCTACCTACCCTGGGACAGCATCTCCAGGGAAGGCTGCACTTAGAAACAGACCGCGCCGCTGCGCTGCCTGGGAAGCAGCCCTCCTGTTACAGCTTTCTTCCCTCTCTCTCCCCAAAGGGTTCCCTTGTCCACACCCCCCTTCCATGTTTTATTTTCCACACTGTACACGATAAACCCCATGAACATTAACAACCTCACCGATGGCATTCAGGGCAAAGCTGTCCCGTGTTCAAATGACCAAGAGGGGCATTTATGTGCGCCTGACAGCGGCTGTCACCAAGTAGAATATAAGACTTAAGAAAAAGGGGCTTTGAGTCCAAAAGTCCTGTAATGAGAGTCTAAGGGCCAAATCTTTGCCGAAACTACTGAGGCTTAGGTTTTTGGTAGGAAAAACAAAGACTGCCCTGCACCTCCCCTTCACTTCCTGAGGGACCCTACCCTGATATTCAGGGTTAATGCCACATAAATTAGGGGGCCCAGTGCACCCAATATCGCTATTATTATTAAGCAGTGATCGCAGTTATTATGATGACAGAGATGATGTGAAGGAATCATTAAAAGACAATACAGTGGGCGCACCTTAGGTTGAACGAAATTATGCCGTACAAAATAAACACGGATGGCTCTCCCTGGTGGCGCAGCGGGTTAAAGCACAGCACTGAGAAGCCAAAGCCACTTTCTCATGAGTTCGATTCCCGCCTGCCCCGGAGGTGACCACATGGCGTGGCAGACCTCTCCTGACCAGCCCGCTGCTCCACTCAGCAGTGTACTTCGTAGATCTGCCTGTTCTGCCCCCACTCTGTCTCTGGTGAAGCCTCTCGCCGCCCCTGAGCCTCTGGCCTGTACCCCAGTTCTGTATGAATAAATAATCTTTTAAAAAAATAAATAAAAATAAAAATAAACACGGATTACACGTTTTTTTAAAAAAATTCGCACCCCAAGTACCCATTACTCACCGTGTAATTGTTCCTCCTCAACTGTCGGTACTCTCTTTCCAGCAAAAGGTAAGCGCTGCTGTGCATGGTAAGGCGGCAAAGGGTCTGTCACTGGGTCCACACTCAAGGGGTCTACTCTGAGGCAGGTTTTCTGGGGTTCCGTGTCACGCTCTCACACCTAGTTAGCGGACGGAGTGGCCTGCTGTTTAGCACTCTAGAACACTGCGAACGCCTCAGATAAAAGGGCTTCAGCGCGGGCATGTAACAGTGACTTTCCTTCTCCTCTGCCTCCTTCAAGCGAGGACTTCCAGAAGAGATTTTCTGCCAGCAGTGTGTCTCTGCTGTGCCACAGCCCACCCCCTGATGTCAAGGTAAACTTGAAGGGGCACCTGGGACGGGCATGTTTGCATGTGAAGCGAGCGTGAGGGCTGTGCGTGCAGGCCGTGGTGGTTGGGCGGCGTTTCAGCTTCACAGGTGGAACTCCGTGACCACTTAGCTGGAGCAGGCACGCACTTTGCCACACAGCAGGAGGGGAGAAGTGGAGGAGGTGGGTGGGAGGTTGGCTTCCAGTCAGCCAATCAGAGACAAAGGGTAGGGGGCTGGAAACCCTCATAACCAATCATCATCTGCTTTACTTTGAGAAGCCAATGAGATCCCTTGTCAAAACTATGACTCTACCTCCACCACCTGTAGCCCCAATTTAGCAAAGTTCACCAAAGAAAAAAAAAAAAAAAAGGTAACCGTTGAGGGGCTTTCCTTGGTGGCCCAACTGGTTAAAGCACCGCTTTCTGAAGCCAGTGCAGCACGACGAATTTGATCCCCTGTCTGGGAGCTGACCCACATGGCTTGGCAGAAAAAAAAAAAACAACAAACCGTTGCCCAACCAATTAGTGTAGAGGGCTTGGAGTCAATTCCCAGGGTTCTGAGCACAGATAACAGCAACTTTCATTTGCAGTCTTCTGAAATGATTCCTTATTTCTTTAAATATCAGGTAACAGGTTCTCCCTGGTGGTGCAGCGGGTTAAAACACAGCACTAAGAAGCTAAAGCAACTTCCTCATGAGTTCGATCCCTGCCTGCCCTGGAAGTGACCACATGGCACGGCAGACCTCTCCTGACCTGCCTGTTCTGCTCCCCCTTCTGTCTCTGGTGAAGCCTTTCGCCGCCCCTGAGCCTCTGGCCTATACCCCAGTTCTGTATGCACAAATAAATAAATCTTTAAAAAAAAAAATCAGGTAACAAATGACGAGTAGATCCATGTCTATGCTTATTAATACCTTAAGCTACATGGCATGTCACCATTCACAATACGTTCACATACCTATTATTATGTCATTGAGTCTTACAGTTACCTTGGGAGAACGTGGAATGGGGAACTATTTAAAAATTCGAAGATTCTGAACTCATACTGCAGTTTTGCGCCTATTGTCCCTTCTATCTAGATGCTTATCACATTTCCTCCCCCAATTTTACTTTCACTCGTTCTCCAGATTTAATTTTACCTTTCACTCATTACGGGATCCTGTAAGAAAAAGTAGGCTCCTCTTTTGTGACCCTGTATTTACCTCCATATTACCATTCATCCCACAGTATCACAACTGTCCATTGTCTTCTCCAGCAGACTGTGAAACTACTTACAGTAGGTCATTTGCCAACTTCAACTATAGAAACAGTCTATTTCAGAGGCTTGTTCAGAGGCTTGCTATTTTCTTTCTTATTTTATGTACTAATTTTATAGAACTGGGAGTCAGTCATTCCAGTCACTCATTCATTCATTCATACGTTCATTTTAATTAAGCAACTACAGTACATGCTGTGGAATGACTCCAGGCAAGTCACTTATCTTTATGGCTCCAGTATACAATAAATAAGAATAAAAAACAAAATTATAATTTCACTTCATGTTAAGTGCTATATAGACAATGGAAGTTAAGGGTTAAGAACGAATAAGGAATAAGGAAATGGATGTCAGTTGTCATCACTGACTGACCCGTGTTGGTGTTTTAAACATTAACTTACTTCCTGTGTGGAAGAGAGGTGGTTTTGGCTACTGAGGTTCCTGAGCTAGTGAGGGGGAGTGGTGCTTTGGTGGGAAATGGAAATGGGAGTGATGTGTGTGTGCATGTGTGTGTGTGTGTCTAGCATTTAGCATTGTGTGTGGCAACTAGCTCAGTTTGTTTCCTACAATTAAAAGCAACAGGAACTGAAAACTAACAGTATCAAGTGTTCAGATAGCTGGGCCTCTTTAAGTTGGAAACTTAAAATTATAGAGGACTTTCTAAAACTATTTTTCTTTTTATGGACTCAATTTCCATTCATGATAATAAATGTCAGTTTTAATGTACTTATCTTAATAAAGCTTTATACATCGCTTATATATATTAAGCTTTAATATATAATTTTAATATAAATTCATAAAATTGATATTCTGTCTGTGTCACTCATTTCTAAACCCTATCATCTATCTGTTCATCAGATTTATTGTTGTTGTTGTATGGTTTTTAATAAATCAACACAATCAGGAAAATAAATCCTCATCTGTAGTCTTTCCACTATTTTTATTTATAACTCTGATGATAAATGGCCTGTGACAAATGAATGTCGTGTCCCAGCATAAACACTGATGTTTTATTAGCCTATACTTTATTTATTAAGATTTATTTATTTATGTTTACAGAACTGGGGTATAGGCCAGAGGTATGGTGGGTGAGAGGATTCACCAGAGACAGAGTAGGGAGCAGAACTGGCAGATGTACTGAAATATACGGCTTTGGGGAGCAGTGGGTGGGTGAGAGGTCTGCCATGCCATGTGGGTCAACTTCCTGGCTGGGGATTGAACTTGTACTGCAGTGTATTCCTGGAGCTTCATAATGTGTGCTTTAACCCATTGGGCCACCAGGGAGAGCCCTAGCCTATTCAGCTTTAAAGTTACTTAGTTTCCCTGTACTTAAATTTTGTCATCATGTTACAGTAACAAGAAGCCAATAGTGATACCTATCTTTCCAGATCATTGTGAGGGTTAAAAGAAGTCATACACTCAGTTACTGGTTGGGCTAGAATAAGTGATAATAACCAATACCTGAACTTACCATGTGCTGGGAACTCTGATCTAAGGGCTTTATAGAAGTTGATTTCATTCTCAAAAACAAGTGTATGAGACAGGTACTTTTATGCTTCTACTTTTTCAGATGAGGGAGAATGAGGCACACTCCAGATAATTTGCCTAGGTCACAGAGCTGGAAGGTTGAACCCAGATTATCTAGCTCTAAAATCCTTGATTTTAACTACCGCTCACTCACCTCCTTCCCCCAGTGAATAATGTTATATGACAAATCTTGGACATTACTGAGTTTGTTGGCTATCAGTGGCAATTATTTACTTAGTGCTGAAAATGGGAAGCAATCATATTGATCTGAATAGTTTTCTCTTTAAGCCATTTCCATGATGATGATGGGATTCAATTCTATTTTTATTTTAGTCACTCCTGATGATAAATTTGAAGAAAAAAATTAGTAGTTAATAATTATTTTATACTTTTCCCCCTTGTTTTTATAATTGTTTCATTACTTTTGTATGTTCAATTGAAAAGTAGATTGAATTAAGTCCTACTATGTACTGTTTTGGGCATTCTCTTATGGTCTTCTAAAAACAGATTTAAAGGCTCAAAAAGAGAAATGTTGCATTGTATTTTTTATGATAGAGATAATGCAAAAGTGACCTCCAAGCTCTCCATCCCTTGTATAAACCTCAGGACCGTGCATATAATAGATTCTACTTTTGTGATTACATTATATGGTGCAGTTGACTTCCTCTCCTGTCCCACCCCGCTGCTTCCCTCAGCAGTGTATTTTGGTACATCTGCCAGTTCTGTTCCCCACTCTGTCTCTGGTGAATCCTCTCACCGCCTGCACCTCTGGCCTGTATCCCAATTCCTGTATGCATAAATAAATAAATCTTTAAAAAAAAAAAAAGAGAGATGATCTTTAGTGAGACTGACCTAGGCAGTGAGACTTAGGTGGGATATAGAATCTTCAAAATATTCTATGTGAGGAAGATTCTCTGTTGCTTCTTTGGAAATGGAAAGGGGTTTGTGGCAAGGAATGTGGGCTTCTTTTAGGAATTGAGTGTGTATGCTGGCTTGTAGCCAGCAAAAGAATCAGAACCTCAGTACTGCAACCACAAACAACTGAATTTTGCCACAACCACATGAACTTGGAAGTGGACCTGAATTTCACTTTAGAACACAATCTTGAGCAGAGAATTCAATGATACTGTTGCCAGATCTGTCTGACAAAACTATGGGATAACAAATGGATATTATTTTAAGATATTAAGTTTGTGGTATTCTGTTATATAACAATAAATAATACAACTTCTGATGGTGAGTGCACAGCTACTATTAACCAAGACAAGCTGTATGGCTAAAGGTCAGTCATTATTGTGTTGTGTTTACCCTAATTTAATGTGAAAAGAAATTGAAACCAGTTACAGAAATTAACATATATTATCATATCATTAAGACAGGGCTAGGAGATAAGATATGTGATATTGAAAAATGAAGGCTGAACCATGCTCGTGGACAAATTTTCATCATCCCAGTTAAACAGGGCAACTGAAAGTGTAATTATTTAACACTGGCAAAGTTACTGAGGCCATCTCAGCTTTAACAATCAAGCATCCCTTCCCCCTCTTTTTAAAAAACAACTCCTTCCCTCAGGACTTGAACAGATGTTTTCATTTTACTTACACTAAAAGATTTTTTTCCTCTCCACCAGGAATATGTACCAGTACAAAGTGTTAACCTCATTTGGATTTGAACCCCCATCCTCAACAGCAAAGGAAGGCTGAGGATCGCCAAATGTCAGCTCAGCTGTGAGAAGTGTTTTAAATCACATTTTGACATATGTTACGCTGTTAACTAGAAAATGAAGTGCAGCACACATGCTTCTAGTAACTCTGGTTTCAAATCATATGATCCCTTCTTTGTCTTGAAGACCTTTTGATGTACGTTCTCAATATTGAGTTTCTCTGCTTTTAATAATCTTATATTCTTTCCTCAATATAAATGTCATGAAAAGTCCTGAATGC